ATCAAAATCAATATAAACACTGCCATAGTCACCTCCCTACAGGTATCTCACCCACATCTGCCTTAACCAGTCCAGGGTCAAGAAACAAGCACGGTTTCTTCAGCACATGCTTGCTGCTCCATATGGCTTCCTCAGGTCTCCTTCTGGCTCTCCATCCAGCTTCCTTCTCTTCTCTCTTCTCCTTTTTCTCTGCTTTTTTTTCTGCTCAGCTCCACCCTCCTTCTGGGTGGGGCAGGGAACCTGGAACTTCCCCTTTTCCTAGGGACCATCCTGTTACAGGGCTTGCAGACTTGAGCAGCATTAGTCTCCAAACCTTCAGCTGGAAGTTACCAGAGATAGCTTGGGTCTGCTATGTCTGATGCTGTTTTCTCTGTGCAGGGTTCTTTTGCAACCTCAATAGCAATAGGTCAAGTCATCAAACTCCATAGCTATGTAGACATTCACTTGAAAGGGAAATATTCCTCCATTGTTCCTATATCAGTGATGTCGCTTTTGGAGTTCGGGGCGGGGTCCTTGGATTAACTCTGGGAAATGTTTCACCAGAGGTCCACTTCCAGCGGTATATGGCAAGTTTCTCCATGAGACAGAGACTTGGTTATATTTAAAACGTAAGTTTATTAAGGGCTCTCCCTGCTGGTGCAGCGGGTTAAAGCACCACATTATGAAGCTTTCTGAAGCCACTGCAGCACGAGTTCAATCCCTTGCCTGGGACCTGACCCACATGGTGCAGTAGAACTCTCCTGACCCACCTGCTGCTCCCCTCAGCAGTGTATTTCAGTCAGTCTACCTGTGCAGCTCCCCAATCTGTCTCTGGTGAATCCTCTCACCCTCCACATCTCTGGCCTGTACCCCAGTTCATATGAATAAATAAATCTAAAAAAAAAAAAAATTGGGGCCCCACACAAAATGTCCTGGATCTAGTAGAGGTATGATCTGCTCTTTGATCTTTCTTTCACTTAGAATTTTCCTCTGATAATATTGAGGCAAATAGAAGGGAAAAGGAGCTGGCAGGTGATAACCTACAGTTAGAGAGGTAGAGACCTAAACATCCACTCATATAATGAGGCTTAAATGTCAGCTCTGGCCACATTGTCCCCTGGGAGACACAGCTGTCCTTCACAAGCCCAAACCCCCTAGCAGTAGCTTTCACCCTCTGAAAACTCACGCTAGTGCCAATTTGTAGCATCCCTCACACATAGTGCCCAGTCTCTTCTGTCTTTAGTGGCTGCAAATGTGGGGCTGTTACAGGGCACCCCAATTCTGTTAGAGGACAGGGGAGAGAGGGATACCCCTGAAGCCCCAAAATCCTGCCTGCTCTAAGTGGGTTCTGCCATCCACAGCAAGAAGACAAAACATATAAAACTTTAATGAAAAGGGACTTTATTACAGTGAATATACAATA